ATCAAACTATTCCGCGCTATTGGACACGCGTCATCAAGTTCAATAGGGCATCATTACGATCATAAGGTGTGCGTAAAAAACGTTTTAATAACAAACTTATATGTACTAATGCACTAAAAAGGAGAAAATAAATTATAGACTACTATTTAAATAGCTATAAAAAAAGCGTGGGTCTCTTCCTAAATAAAGGTATTTAATAGATACTAAAGTGACTCACGCTTGTCTTTATATTTATTAAAATAGTGGTCTATAATTTATTTTTTCCTTTTTAATACATTATTACACAAAAGCTTGTTATTAAAACGTTTTTTATGAAAAAAGTTTACAACCTTTTATTTAACTCACTGTCTCTGTCATCAGACTGTCTGTCTAGTTCGAAACGCCCGAACAAAATTACTGGCACTTCTAACTGACAGATACGGTTTGTAGTTGGTACATGGGTCAAGACATGAAGACAATGCAACATAACATTAAATTTTGCTTAATTATAGATGCCTAATTAATTTGTTATGAATTAATTAAAATTTTGACCTAATTAGTGGGCAGTCTTATCCAACTACTCCGCACAATTAGACACGCGTCATCATGTTCAGTAGGGCGTCATCGCGTTCAAAAGGTGCGCAATGATTTTTAGTCATGTAACTCTATTATAAATAAAACGTGTAAAGTACTAAAAAAATTATAAAAACTGTTATAATAACGAGCTTTTATGTAACTATGCACTAAAAAGTACAACATTAATTATACACTACTATTTAAATAACTACAAAGAAAAGCGTCGGTCTCTTCCTAAATATTAGTGAAGGTATCCAATAGATACTAAAGGGACCCACGCTTTACTTTATATATTTACATAAAAGCTTGTTATTAAAACGGGTTTTATTATATTTTTTATAGCATTTATTATCTACTGCATACAAGTTTTAAAAAAGGCATTATTTTTCCGGCTGCATAATTAAATTTGTTTTTTTCTACATATGAATATGTCTTTATTTTTATTCCCACTTTATTTGCACTATCAGTATACAAAAAAAAGACATTATTTCATTTAGGAGCGGCACTCTTTTCAATGCATCATTTTTAATTCAAATTCTAAAGTTAGTGAAATAATATATTTAAAGATATTTCTAGCTTTATAAATAAATGCAATAATAAAATCATTAACAATTAAATAGGAAAAATATAAAGGTTTTTACATTCCAATGCATTGAAGAGTGTGAAGAATTGCCAGTCCTGTTTAATGAATGGTTTAAATAAATATCCTACTTCCTGATACCAAGTCCTTGAACTATTGGAATAATAGCTTGACCAACCTGAAGAATCGTGTTAGGAATAGAATAAGAATCAAAATCGTTCTCTTGAGTTGATCTGATGCCAGTGCCTTGGAGAATTGGAAGGATAGCACCTCCAATTTGAAGGGCGGCGTCGAGAATCGAAGCGATGTCTTCTTGGGATTTCTCTAATATCAAGAGAGGTAACGATAGGAAGGGTAACGTTAGAGGTTTGCATGAATGTTACAACACCATTCAAACCCGTAACATATATGCCGTTTTGGGGCATGTTTTTAATGATTGAAGCCAAGTCTTTTTGGGTTCCTCTGATACCAAGACCTTGAACTACTGGAACAACAGCTTGGCCGATTTGAAGGATGGTGTTGAGGATTGAAGCAAAGTCTTCTTGCGTTTCTTTCTTTCCAAGCGATGTAATGACTGGAAGAGCAGCTTGGCCGATTTGAAGGATGGTGTTGAGGATTGAAGCAAAGTCTTCTTGGGTTTCTTTCTTTCCAAGAGATGTAATGACTGGAAGAGCAGCTTGGCCGATTTGGAGGATGGTGTTGAGGATTGAAGCGAAGTCTTCTTGGGTTCCTCTGATACCCAGACCTTGTACTACTGGTACAACAGCCTGTCCGATTTGAAGAATCGTAGACAGTATTGAAGCAAGATCATCTTGAGTTGCTCTAATACCAGTACTTTGCAATACTGGTAAAATGGCCTGGCCAATTTGCAGTGCGGTGCCAAGGATAGAGGCAATATCTTCTTCTGTCTGTACCCCTGGTATAAGGGCAGCTTGTTCCCTGATAGTTACAGTAATGGTGGCCCCCCAGTCTTCCCCAGAGACCTATATAAATAACGAATTGTGTCATTATATATGTTGACATTTCTTTAATGTTTCATATAATAAGTTTGTTTTTATGAATGGTATTTGATAATTTTTTATTTATTTATACGAGAGTATGTGGGTTGGAAAAGTTGAATGTAAAGATGTTGAGTAAATGACGCGATGAACAAGGATGTGACAGCTAAGTGTAGGATCGTTGTTGCTGGGGGAAATGTTGAGGGCAGTCTGCGTCTTGATGTGCTAGGGTGAGGAAGTATTCGTCCTATCCTCGTGAATATAGTCATCGTATAAGTCTCTCTAGGGAATATCATGTGACTAGTGCAATGAAAATGTAATGAAACAGTGTGATCCTTGACAGAATTTGATAAACAAGAAGTGCCCGATGTTTGTGTCTGGATGGGTATATCAGCAGCAGTACTTGAGCGGTCGGGCGCAGAAAAGACGAGCGAACGATTAAGGACGGAGATGATGTGAGACGGAGATGAAGAATTTAGAAGAATTTAGATAAAAGATAAATATGAGGTTACCCTTGGCTTTGGTGGCAAAGGGTGCGACGAACACAAGGTGAGTTTGATGTGGGGATAGCGACCGCGTTGGCTCACCAAGATTACCGAGAGTATAACTGTCGTAGACATAAATCGAACGGAGAGAACAGTGTCAGTACAATGTGAAATACGGAGTTATACGAAGTATGCACTCTTAGCATTAGCTCCCGGTCAAAAAAAACCTGGACATAAACCCCCCGACATAAACCCCCTGGACGAAAACCCCCCGCGACATACACCCCCTGGACAAAATCCCCCCGCGACATAAACCCCCTGGACAAAAGCAAATTTAAAAAGTGGGTTAATATTTGTTTAAATCAGCGAATTAAAATATGTTTATACAAGGAATGTTTTCTTTTTCGCAGAAATATTCTCGGGAGTATTCTCATCTACTCCCTAAAGTTTCATGGCACTCGGATGAACCGCATCCGAGTTTTATTTTTTAAATACCGTGTATAGAGAAATAAAAATCGCCCCCCCCCCCAGCGGGGGGGGGGGCGCCGCCCTTGCAATGTTAAACAATTTTTTTTTTTTTGCAGAACCCTACCATTGAGTGATCTAATCATCTCCCCAAAGTTTCATGGAACACGGATGAACGGTGTGAAACCGAAATTTTATAAACCGTATATAGAGAAAAATCTCAGCCTCCCGTGGCGCCACCCTTGCGAAATTAAAAAAGGATTTTTTTTTTACAGAACCTTTCCCTGAATTGTTCTAATCAACTCCCCCATAGTCTCATGGCTATCGGATAACGGTGTCACACCAAAATCGACTTTTATTTTTATATACCGTATTAAGAGAAAAATCGCAACCTCCCGTGGCGCCGCCCTTGCGAAATTAAAAATGATTTTTTTACAGAACCCTTCCCTAGAGTTTTATAATGAAATCCCCAAAGTTTCATGCATATCGGATAAACGGTGTCACTGCAATTCACTTTTATTATTTTTATATACCGTAAATAGAGAAAAATCGGACCCTCCCGTGGCGCCGCCCTTGCGAAATTAAAAATTATTTTTGTACAGAACCCTTCCCTAGAGTGGTATAATGAATCCCCAAAGTCTCATGGCTATTGGATGAACGATGCCAAACCACAATCGGCTTTTAGTTTTATATACCGTAAATAGAAAAAAAAAACAAATCGCGCCCTATCAGGGCGCCACCCCTGCGAATTTGAAATATTTTTTTTTCGCAGAAACCTCCCCAGGAATATTCTCAACAACTTCCCAAAGTTTCACGGCGATGTGATGAGAGGTGTAGTAATGCATAAAGGACACACACACACACACACACAAACATACATTGCTTTATATATATATATATATATATATATATATATCTATATATATATACAGATATATATATATATATATATATATATATATATATATATATATATATATATATATATATATACATATACATATACATATACATATACATATACATATACATATACATATACATATACATATACATATACATATACATATACATATACATATACATATACATATACATATACATATACATATACATATACATATACATATACATATACATATACATATACATATACATATACATATACATATACATATACAGATTAATACTACTCAGACGAAAAACTATGTTTCGTCCATGTCTAAATTTATTAACCGGTCATCCTCAGCAAACCTGACATTCAGCATGGCAGTTGCGTTTTTTTTGTTTTTCGTTGCAAACAACAATTTTAAAAAAAAACATAACTAATGGTTTCTCTAAAGTTAAAACAATTAAAAGTTCTAGTTTCACTGCTTGCAGCATTTCAAAATAACTGTAGTCTTCTTTCAGAAATGGGATATAGAGAAATAGTACAGTAATGCTGCTTCTTCTGCAGGTTGTTGTCTTGTTTATTTGATTGTTGCTTTCGCAAATAATAAATCATCGCGGTAATATGTATTAGTATTTTTCTACAAAGATTGTGTATATTTTTGTTCAACTGTATTGTTAGTAATTGTGTATAAATGTAATCTATTTTCATGCTTTATAAAATAATATTTTACTACTCCATCTTAGACTAACTTAACTATTTCTTTCTAAAACTATCATTTTCCTTTTCCTGGAAACGTATTGAATTTCGTACTTCCTACAATAAAAAACGTTATACAGAACTACAAATTTGGTAGAATACTTATATATGAAATTTCATCAACCTAGCTGTAACGGTACTCAAGTTATCATGTTCACAGACACACATATATATATGGACAATTTTTTTTTTTGCACGATTACAATACTTCCTCCAAAATTCGTATACGAGAAAGTAAAAAAAAAAAAAGAATAGTTCAGTAAAGAGAATTGAAATATTGTGTAGGCTTTTTATTTCCGGAGCTTGCAGAACATGAAGAATAGACTTCAAATTTGAATCGCTGCAGATATTATTGATGCAATAATGGGGCGACAACTAAGCCGTCTGATAAAACGTTGTTGAGGTATGAAACCCAGTCTACAGGTGTTGCCTTCTTTCCAATTGATGTAATGACTGGAAGGGCAGCTTGGCCAATTTGAAGAATGGTGTTGAGGATTGAAGCGAAGTCTTCTTGGGTTTCTCTAATACCTAGAAGTGGAGTATTAGTTTGGCCAATCTGGGGGATGGGTTCATCAAATGGAGCATAAAAATGAGATTGCCTTATACCTGGAGGTAAAATGACTGCATTACCACTTAGGCTTATTTGAAGGATGGTGTTGAGCAAAGAAGCGAAGTCTTCTTGGGTTCCTCTTATGCCTAGACCTTGAACTACGGGAACAACAGCTTGGCCGATTTGAAGGATGGTGTTGAGGATTGAAGCGAAATCCTGTTCAGCTTCCCTGATACCAAGACCTTGAACTACTGGAACAATAGCTTGGCCAACCTGGAGAATGGTGTTGAGGATTGAAGCAAAGTCTTCTTGGGTTCCTCTGATACCCAGACCTTGTACTACTGGTACAACAGCCTGTCCGATTTGAAGAATCGTAGACAGTATTGAAGCAAGATCATCTTGAGTTGCTCTAATACCAGTACTTTGCAATACTGGTAAAATGGCCTGGCCAATTTGCAGTGCGGTGCCAAGGATAGAGGCAATATCTTCTTCTGTCTGTGCCCCTGGTATAAGGGCAGCTTGTTCCCTGATAGTTACAGTAATGGTGGCCCCCCAGTCTTCCCCAGAGACCTACATAAATAACGAATTGTGTCATTATATATGTTGACATTTCTTTAATGTTTCATATAATAAGTTTGTTTTTATGAATGGTATTTGATAATTTTTTATTTATTTATACGAGAGTATGTGGAAACTTTGAATGTAAAGATGTTGAGTAAATGACGCGATGAACAAGGATGTGACAGCTAAGTGTATGATCGTTGTTGCTGGGGGAAAAGTTGAGGGCAGTCTGGGTCTTGATGTGCTAGGGTGAGGAAGTATTCGTCCTATCCTCGTGAATATAGTCATCGTACAAGTCTCTCTAGGGAATATCATGTGACTAGTGCAATGAAAATGTAATGAAACAGTGTGATCCTTGACAGAATTTGCTAAACAAGAAGTGTCCGATGTTTGTGTCTGGGTGTGTATATCAGCAGCACTACTTGAGCGGTCGGGCGCAGAAAGGACGAGAGAACGATTGTGATCATTGGAATATGTAGAGATCGTGTAACGACGGAGATGTGAGACGGTCGGGCGCAGAAAAGACGAGCGAACGATTACGGACGGAGATGATGTGAGACGGAGATGAAAAATTTAGAAGAATTTAGATAGAAGATAAATACTAGGTAACCCTAGGTTTTGGCGGCCAAAGTTGCGACGAACACAAGTAGGGTTTGATGTGGGGACAGCGATCGCGTTGGCTCACCAAGATTACCGTGAGAATAACTGTCGTAGACACAGATCGAATGGAGAGAACAGTGTCAGTAGAATGTAAAATACGGAGTTATACGAAGTATGCACTCTTAGCATTGGAGCTTTGATGATTTTCGTGTTATTCTTAGAAAAGTAATTATTCAACAAGTGAGTGTTGTAATCTCGAAACTGTAATAAGAGTGATTCTTTTTATGAAACTGGGTGCCAGTACCTAAAGAGGTGTACACAGTCTAGCGGATCAATTCCTAGGCGTGGACGAATATATACACGGCAGGTGGTTACAGACCCCTGTCGTATTTGGGCGCGACATGACACGTCTGTCACATTTGGAGTTGTCGGCAGGGTAGAAGCACAAAGCACATGAAATAAACACCCACCTGGATACATATATGTATATATATATATATATATATATATATATATATATATATATATATATATATATATATATATATATATATATATATATATATATATATATATGGGTAGGCAGACAGACAGACTAGTATTGATATGTTTGCCTACACAATAGCTTACCTCTCGTCTGTTGGATGGAAGTGCTGAGATTGACCCCACAAGGAGAAGCAGGAATACAGTAGGTGCCAGCATTGTGTGTGTTTAGCACTGGAAGTAACAACAAAACGCTGAACGATTAGGAGGAGCTCACTTCTGTTTTGTTCAATTTTTATCTTAAACGAGCCGACCCGCCGAGTAGCATACGCTGCTTTTTTGTTGTTTTATTTTCTACTTTTCAGTAAATTATAATTTATGAATTTGAAACTACCAATGCTGAGACTGAACATATTTTACTTTAAAACACTATCAATAGCTCGGGAAGGACTATTATCCTCCAAGTTTAACTCCCCCCCCCCACCTCCCACACCGCCCCCGTGAGAGCAGCCGTCCGTGACTACATTTTTCAGACGACTTTGAAAAAGATCAAGCAGAACTTGTTATCTCTACTTAGTTTCAAATCGTTTAAAAACTTTTTTAATAACAAGCTTTTATGTAATAAAACACTAAAAAGTAAACAAATTATTTTCTTTAAATGTATGAAAACTAAATTCTATTTAAATAACTAAAACAAACCTGGTCGCTATATTATGTATTGAATAGCTTTACTAGAATTTCCTTAATTCAAGTGTTAAGCTAATATTTTAAAACAGAGAAAGTAACTATAGGTATATTGAGAAATGAAACTTAACTAATACCTCACTAACCCAAGTTTCAATTGAATATTTCTTAAATATACTTTACTTACAGCCCACGAGTCAAGATAGAACAAGTAGTTTGTTTTAAACTGACTATATCTTTCTCTATTTTATACAAAAACAATTTCTCACAATCGTGATTTTTTTTTCTCACGCAAAAAAATCCAAACCGGGAAATCGTGTGGCTAGATAGATCGTGCTTTTCTTTAATTTTTTTTATAATTTTAACATGTGTAAAATTCACGAATTTAAAAAAGTGAGTTGACAAATACGCATCAAATGACAGCTGTATTGAAACTGTGTTGTGTAGGTATCTGTATCTATAAAAAGAGAGGCGGCTGTAATTTACGAATATGTAAGGTCATGATCTTTTCCCGTTAATGTCCAAGATATTGGGACACACGAACGTAGTTAGAGAGGAGGGGGGTCGGCGTGGTCGAGTCGGTAAAGCTCATGGTTGCTAAACCGAAAAGTCTCGAGTTCGAACCCTCGGGCAGATGAGGCTCGTTAGCTGGGGACAGCCACTCTTCTAGGAGAGACAACTCCTAAATTAAACATCTGCTGCCTTGTAGTTTGTTCTTGGTTAGACAAAGGCTATGGAAGCAAATCCAAAAAGAAAAGCAGGCTGAAATCGGAGTCAATGGCCTCAATGGCGCATAAACAGTTGACAAGTAACGCTTAATTGTGTTGGAGGCGTGGTCGAGTCGGCAAAAAGCTCATGGTTGATAAATTCGAACAAAGTCTCGAGTTCAAACCCACTGGCAGATAAATCTCGATCCCCTTCAACACTAATAATTAAGAACGAAGAAGAAGAAGAAGAAGAAGTTAGACAGGAAAGAAAGAGAAGGGAATTGGGAAGGGAACGAAAAGAAAGAAAGAAGGAAGGAAGGAAGGGATGGATGGAGGGGCGGAGAGAGTATATATTTACAGTGTCGGTTAATAAAATAGTGTCTGGCTTTTGGCTATCGGTTTGAAGACCAGTGACGTCACACTTTTCATTATAAAAAAGCAATGTTAAAAATGAGTTTCGGCCGTTATTTCGCGTTTTAGAAAACTTTTTTAATAAATTGAAATAGGGAATTGATTAAGATACACTATGTTGACAGGGTTCAGACAAGATTTTGGAATAATTTTGATGTTTTAAGTCAACTGCAATTTTGAGGAGGTTGTAGGCTGAGGTGTGACATCATTTTAGGGGGGGGGGGTCTGGCATTTTGTTACGATGTGAGACGGAGGGGAGGGGGGAGGTAAAATGTGTCAAAAAAGCGTGACGTGATTTATGGATGACCCCTTGCCTGGTCAACAGCAAGCAGATAGGCTTAATTAACCCCCAGCTGTATAAATGATAGGGATTGTTGTACCTAATGTAACACTGTTAATATAAGACTATAATAAAGGTATAATGATTTAGAAAAAATGAACATTTGTCAGACCTCGGCTGCAGCTTGGTTCTCCTTCCCTGAAATCCAACTAACTGCTAGTGATGGAAGATTCAATAGCTGTTACTTCTGTATAGCTAAGTTATATGTTATGGCCCTTTTATTCTCGGAGAACGAATGCGTCTTTCAGAATTTTTCTCTAGGGTTTGGGGGACTTTAAAATCGTGTGGGTGTGGAGAGCTCTTAGATTCCACAGGAGACGGACACTGGCTAAATTGTATAAATCGTGTAAATCTTCTTCTTCTTCGTTCTTAATTGTGAATATGGTGGAGGATTCAGACAACAAGTCCAACTTCGTGGACAAACCGGACTGTGGTCTCCAGTTTGTCAGGTGACCCATATAATTTTTCCCTGAGTGGGGTGGGCTGGGGCCAGTGTCTGTCTCGTGCCTGGCTATACAAAGTGCATCGTGTAAATGAAATATTTATTTTTCTATGTAGGGAGGGTGGGGAAAGGTGTGTGTTGAAGGGGGGGGGGGTAGTGTCCCTTAAAATACTGCCTGCAAGAAATTCTCAGTGGAACTACAATTAGGCTAATTAAGTAATGTTATAAGGTGTTTAGTAAATTAAAAACCATCCATTCAAACGTCGTTTAGATGATTTTTACCTCCGTCCTTTTAACCCTACTTATGAAATGTTGCTGTTTATTTAACCTAGTCATCACCCAAACCCCAAATTACTAGACTTTACTTTAATCATTGTTTACATATAGGCCTATCCTTCATTCAACTGTAGGCGCTAATTTATATTGTTATGTATCCAAGTATTATGTAGTAAAAATTTCATAAAAAACGTTTTAATAACAAGCGTTTATGTAATAATGCACTAAAAATGGAGAAAATAAATTATACACTACTATTTAAATAACTATAAAGAGAAGCGTGGGTCACTTTAGTATCTATTGGATGCATTTACTAATATTTAGGAAGATACCCATTCTTTTCTTTATAGTTATTTAAATTGTAGTGTATAATATATTTTCTACTTTTTAGTGCAGTATTACATAAAAGCTTGCTATTAAAACGTTTTTTATGAAAACAAATTTTATTACTTTACATGTTTTATTTACACTAGAGTTGCATGACTAAAACCCATTGCGCACTTAATGAACGTGATGACGCGTGTCTAATAGTGCAGAATGGTTTGATGAGACAGCCTACTAAGTTGGACAAAATTTTAATTAATTCATAAAAAAAGTAATTAGGCAACCAATTAAGTCAAATTTAATGTCATGTCGCATTGTCTTCATGTCTTGACCCACGTACCATCTACAAACTGTATCTGTCAGTTATAAGTGCCAGCAATTTCGCTCGGGCGTTTCGATCTAAACAGACTGACGATTAACGACTATCGATAGACAGAGGAAGTGAGTTAAATAAAAGCTTGTAAAAAGCATGTAAAAAAAAATCTAGATCTATGCTATTGTACAACTTACAATATGTAATAGTAGGCCTATACATTTCTTTTTGATAATATTGTGATTTACAAATACTTTAATTTTGCATTGATATAAGCAGCTAATCATGTTCTGTAGTTTGGCCTATTCCTACACGTTTTGAATATCCAAAATATTATTATTATTATTATTATTATTATTATTATTATTATTATTATTATTATTATTATTATTATTATTATTATTATTATTATTATTATTATTATTATTATTATTATTATTATTATTATTATTATTATTATTATTATTATTATTATTATTATTATTATTATTATTATTATTATTATTATTATTATTATTATTATTATTATTATTATTATTATTATTATTATTATTATTATTATTATTATTATTATTATTATTATTATTATTATTATTATTATTATTATTATTATTATTATTATTATTATTATTATTATTATTATTATTATTATTATTATTATTATTATTATTATTATTATTATTATTATTATTATTATTATTAATATTATTATTATTATTATTATTATTATTATTATTATTATTATTATTATTATTATTATTATTATTATTATTATTATTATTATTATTATTATTATTATTATTATTATTATTATTATTATTATTATTATTATTATTATTATTATTATTATTATTATTATTATTATTATTATTATTATTATTATTATTATTATTATTATTATTATTATTATTATTATTATTATTATTATTATTATTATTATTATTATTATTATTATTATTATTATTATTATTATTATTATTATTATTATTATTATTATTATTATTATTATTATTATTATTATTATTATTATTATTATTATTATTATTATTATTATTATTATTATTATTATTATTATTATTATTATTATTATTATTATTATTATTATTATTATTATTATTATTATTATTATTATTATTATTATTATTATTATTATTATTATTATTATTATTATTATTATTATTATTATTATTATTATTATTATTATTATTATTATTATTATTATTATTATTATTATTATTATTATTATTATTATTATTATTATTATTATTATTATTATTATTATTATTATTATTATTATTATTATTATTATTATTATTAAAATTTGATTAGTCAGTCATTTAAATATAACTAAAAGGTTTAAAACTTAAAGGGTGATAACAAGATTAAATGCAAACGATCACGCGATAGATTTCTACATTCAAATAACAGAAGGGGAGATAACAAGCTAGACGCAATCACCCGATGAAATCAGCGGTGGCTCCCGGCGAATGTTCTTTGGTTACTATTGGCTGCCCGAGAGTTGACCACGAAGAACGAGTAGACAATCGCAAGCTACTAGATATGTTCTTTTTTATATTCAATAAAAAATGGGGAATAAAAATATTAAATTCCAACGATCGCGCAATCAGCTTGTAGTTGACTATTGTTATATAAGAATACTAACCATAGGTACCCGTTTTACGTGAATTACGTGAATTACAGCAGTGGTGTCACTAGGTCGGGTGTAACTCGTTGCGGAACCTAATGGTGTCACCTCCCACACCCCAGCAAGAAAATTATATATATATATATATATTCCTATTTACTTGTGCTTTCTTTGACCAGCACACAACATCAACCACAATACAAATACTCGGAAGTGCAGGTTTACATTTATCTCTTTATTAAATGAATCAATAGAAATGCTCCACATAGCAATGCATCAATGTTCCACAAGAATACAATGAACCAACTGACCCCCACTGTCCTCACTAGTTCTCACACATCAGAATACACGAGTCCATGGTTCGGGCTTCCAGACCTATTCTCACAAATCAAAACACGTCTCTACAGTTCAGTCTTCAACTTCTGTTCTGCTCCCTTCTCGTCGTGCCGTCCTATTATATCGCCCCCTTACTACCAGTCGCCTTGTATTCGTAATCGGTTCTATCCGTTGCATCATAGCTATGAACTCCGTACAGTCCTATTATCTCGCCTCCCAACTACGCAGTTGTCTTGTATTCGTAATCGGTTCTATCATAGCTATCAACTCCGCACTTCTGTTTCTATTTCTGTCACACCACCTGCATCCGTTGCATCAGTTCAGTTTGGCCTTGGTCATGTCTTTAGTTGACAGACTGTATTGCGTTCTAATCAATCGTCTTTAGTAACTACACTAGTTACATCCACCCCCGCCGTTTTTTTTTTGTGTGTTCTCAACCACAAACAACGCTTGGCAGGTGCACTCCTCCAATGTCAAACGCA